GTATGCAGGTAATTAAACCCATAAATTACCTCTGGTCCAGGTAATTAAATCCATAAATTACATCTAGTCTAGGTAGTTATACCCTCTAGCCCAGCTAATTGAACTCATATAATATCTTGATATGGATCTTTAAACTCAACTGAGATAAAAATCCATGGAAGACATGTACGTATGCATATAAATATGAACCTCCAGAAAAAACTGCTTAAGAAAATTCAAGAAAAAAACACTTACCTGTAAGGCAGGTACATATATACATATAAGGCAAGTACATATATACCTGTATGTATTAACATTATTTACCTGCATGTCATGTACATAATTTAATGTGGGTGCTTGTCTGATCGATTGGTATAATATGTGAGTCTTTACTTTTTATTGATTAAATTGTATTTTATCTATATATTAGGAATATTATCAAGGAAAAAAAAAGTTCAAAATTCAAAATTTAGAATTTCCATGTGTTTTCCTTATTTACCTTAAAGGGTAAAATCGACACAACAAAAAAGTAATAAATATTAAAGGACCTACATCTAAAACCAAAAACACGAGAACTAGACCCAATGACAGCTAATCGTTTTAGACCTAAATCTAAGAACCCCTACTGTTTATTCTGCCATGTGTTTTGTGATTGTTGATTTGAAACCCAACGTTTGGATGTAAAATGTTGAGTGGTCTCTTTCACGGATCAATTCCAAGTTAGTTACACGTTTTTCTTTTTGAAAATTGTCCTTGCCTTTTTGTATTTCTATTCATTCAGAAAAAGCACAATTTGGTTTGGTTTGGTAGGTTATGCCATCCATCAAATCTATTAATTAGAGCATAGCTTGAATTATAAGACACAACCAATTACCAACTTAATTGCTTTTCATTGGCAGAGCAAAAGATGAACACGTGTCTTAAGAAAAAGCCCTAGCAAAGCAAAGCACCGAATGATAAAAGCTGTCTTGGCAATTTGGCAAACTACATCACCAAACGTTGAAAATAATAATGCTATTTGATTCAACAATGGCTAGTCACAATTTCACGACGCGTGTCCTAGTATACTATGCTTGTAATAAAGAGATATTTAGTCATATACCCATTCTTAGCACTAAAACTATAAATAAATCCTACACCATTTAATTTATATAAACAAACTCAAAAAATAACAGCGGGCCCTATTGAATTTAATTTTAATTATTAAATTACCTCGATGTCCTATTAAGTGTTTTGGACTTTTTTTTATAAGGTTTTGAAGTTGGGTTTGTTTTAAGATCACCAATGTCAGTTTTGTAGAAATGCTCCAAAGTTAGAAAGTTATTCCAACATATATGCTATTTGTAGAATTCTATTTATTTTAAATAGTGATGTGACAAATCTTAATGGAATCGGGAATTTTATTAGATAATGATGCGGGAAAATCCAAATAATCCGCATATATAACTACTTGTTGAAACATAGATAACAAGGAAAAAGTATTCAAATAACACGTGGCTCAATATTTAAAGAAGTGAAGAATATTATTTTTATTTAAACAAAGTACTGAAATGTGGTGGAGATGCGATGCATCATGCATGCGTGTATAATAGAAAAGGGTTGTTTTGGCACTTGTTCTCAATCAATATAATAAGTATGTTCAAGTATTAATGTTATACGCGAATGAGTGTTGGTTCAGTTGGTAAGATACATGCATTGTGTGTAGTCTTATTAGTATTTGAGTCTCGTTATTAGCAGTTCTCATTGATGCATGATCAGTAATCTCTTACATAAATTCATATTGGTGGCAGACAGTTGAGTGCCACGCGTAAGTTCTTTCAATTTAAGATTGTGGATATGCTTTGACGCTGGTGGTGAGAGTAGTCAATCTCCTCCTAAACTTTTGCTCATGAAATTAGCTCATGAAAAAAAAAAGAAAAAAAAAAAAAAGAGTGCTAATGTTATAAAGCTAGCTTATCATAAGTTCATAACATAAAAGAAGGAAATCATAATATTATTCCCTAATCTCGAAATGCATCTGTGTTGCCTTCGGGCCCGGCCCATTGTTTTTAAGAAAAATGCAAAATTCATCTCTATACTTTAACAAAAGCTATAAGGGAACTGATCTTCTGAATAGAAAAACCACATTTGGTTTCTCAAATTCAATAATGTCCTAACAGAAACACTTATATGCAATGAGGATATCACTGTTTCGCTATCTCTGATAAATCACGCATGTCACGTGTGATAATTTATTAATCGGGAATAGCATTGTGCATATGATACAAGTTTTTCTGCCTGTTAGGCCTTATCTTCTTTTTCTTTTTTTCTTTTTAATATTATATAAGGTTGGTTGCTAGTCAATCAAGAAATAAGTATAACTACCAAAAAACCAAAAAAAAAAAAGAATTAAGTATTTTGCAGATATTATACATTCCATGGAAAAAAAAATGAAGCATATATATAGCTAACAACAGAGTCCACACAGGTAAAAGTGCTCACATTTCCAATTAAAACGAATAATAAAGGGGTAAAGAATATGAGCTTATGAAGTATATACATATAGCCTCTATTTACTAAAAAATAAAAAAGTAGCGCTAGCTCGTTTTTGATAGGGCGACAACAATGACACTGATGTTATCTTTGCTTCCCCGAGCCATAGCTAGATCAGCCAAGACAGCTGCTGCCTCAGACGTACTGTGACTTTGGACATGATGATGACGATGATCCTCCTCATGTATGGAAATTCTCCTTATTCTTCCATCAAGGCACTTGTTCACAACCTTACATGCCACCTCGTTCGATATAACATCCCACAGCCCATCACTGGCAAGGATGAGGAATTCATCCTCCTCAGTTCGTTTCGTCACCGTCACCTCTGGTTTTGATATCACGTATGGCCTCATGTATTTGTCACCTGCACCATGTCAATATATCACTAAATCAGTGAAAGGTTACAAATTAATTTCAAATACGTACCCAATTATATATATACTTACCAATGGATCTGGAAGTGGCAAGCACCCCGAGAACACGGTTTCCATTCCAATTGATGACTTTTCCACCCGCAGCTTCAATTCTCTTCAACTCATCCACTCTCTCAGGCTATACATATATTATTTATATATATACTGATTAGTATAAATTTCCAGTAATTAATTACTAATTACTTGATATATAATACGGAGGACAAAGTCAATCCTCAAGTATATTCTTGCTAGCTAGCTAGCTGCATTGTCACATACGAGAGCCAAACGTAACGTGGCTTCAGATCAGTGAACACTATTGGGAGACAAACACTTGTCCTTATGTATGTATATATCTTTTAGCCTTAAATGTCTTTATGTATGTATATACTATATAGGACTTAAATTCAATTTAATCATACACAATATTTTCTGTATTTTCCTTATGAATTTATGTGTGTGTCAATATACAATATTTCCCTTCATCAACCAGCTACATTAATTAGTAATTAAAAACTGGAATCTGAGTTTATCAATAATTTCAATTA